TGAGGGAGCTCGACCTAAGTTACAAAAATTTAGAAGCTTGGGTACCATTTACGGTATATCATCGCATTTCATTCTTCATCCTCATTCATTTTAAATTTCCTTTTCTTTCATTACTTCACTTGTGCCTTATTATGTATGAACAAAAGCCTCTCCCTTTCACTAAATAGTAGTTTGTTGTTTATTAGATATTATATTGTAATTTATTGTGGATTTGGTTATACAAACAGGTCTAATAAATTTGAAAGTCCTTAATTTACAATCAAATTACTTCAATAATAGCATTTTCTCCTCACTTCACGGGCTATCATCACTCAAATCTCTAGATCTCTCTTACAATGAACTAAAAGGAACCATCCAAATGAAAGGTTAGTTCTGTAGTTTATAACTCCTTATTTTCTTACTTGTGTCAAACAAAATTGAGCTCTCAATCATTATTTTCACATTTTGCTTGTACATGTTTATTTCTCTACCTCTATCTAGATTTACATCCTTTGAGTAATTTGGAGGAGCTTGATCTAAGTTTCAATAAGGTCGACAACTTCATGACTCCAACAGGTTTCAATAAGGTCGACAACTTCATGACTCCAACAGGTACTCAACTAAGTTTTTCAAGTTTATATTTTCGGAATAATGAATGTTAATACGCTTATACTTGAATATTACCCAAGAGAGTTCTATGTTTCAGGCATCGAAAGTATGCATCGTCTCCAATTGCTAAAATTAAATGACATAATTGTCTCCAACATTAGCAACATGGTGCAATCTTTGAGGGCATTCTCATAGCTCAAGAACTTCCATTTTTGGCGCAATAATGTAAACGGAAGCATTGGATCTTATGATAAGCAAAAAGAGCTGTAATTCCTAGTCACAAAAATTATAATACTAATTACAGTATGAACTCGAATTCTCATGCACATCCCATTGCTTACGTGTATAAGAGTTGAGACATTTAAGACGGCTAGAGGGATTGTTCTTGGATGGTTCTACTGTGGATTGGAACTTTCTACAAGGTATTAGAGCACTAACTTTCCTCAAGATTTTATCTTTGTCCGGATGCGGACTCAATGGAACCATTCCCGTTCAAGGTAAACTTCAATGGCTTGTTTGGTAAACAATGATTTTCATGTCTTGGCATGCTGATTAAAAAATTGTTTCTTCAATTATTTCTATTATCACAATTTTACAACTTTCCTTGCATCTCATTTGAACTTTTGGTTAATGAATGAAAAGTCATCTCACGATTGTGAAAAATTACTACAAGATTTTTCAGAAAACAATAGATATTGATTACCTCACTATCAAATATAGAAAAAAATTTGTGAAAAATAAAAATGAACCAAAACATCTCTTTTGTCTCACAAAGAGTATTTAACTTCGTCAATTAGGACTTTATAATAGATATAATATAAAGAGGTTCGGCTAACCTTACATAGTTACATAAACGTAATTATATTTTACAATCGATAGCTTCTTCTTCTTCTTCTTTTTTTTATTGGTAAGAGTGGAAATAAGTAAGTTAATAGTTACATTCAAAATAAGTAACTTATTGATGTCTTTCACCAATAATAAAAAAAAAAAATCACTTTTAAAAAAATTTGCCTTTTTTATTTTTTTTTGGAAGTAAAGCCTTTATATTCCCTATTTCATTGGTGGGTTTTAAAGTAGTAATTGTATTCGTTTGATTTGCAGGGTTGTGTGAACTTAAAAACCTCCAAGAGTTAGATCTTAGTTGGAATGAGTACGAAGGAATACTTCTTTCATGTGTTGCAGACATGACGTCTCTTAGATTGATTGAACTCCCACAAAATACTTTCACTGGAAATATTGCTTCCCCTCCACTTTCAAAACTCACATCGCTTGAATATCTCT